TACTTTGGGAAGCTGAGACAAGTGGATTACCTGAGCCTGCAGGTTCGAGACCAGCCTGGTCAACTTGGCAAGGCCTTGTCTCTATAATAAAAATCACAAAAACTGACCAGGCATAGTAGAGTACGTCTGTAGTTCCAGCTACTTGAAGGGCTGAGGCAGAGGGATCGCCTGAACCCAACAGGTCGAGGCTGCAGTGACCATGGGCATGCCACTGCACTCCAGCCTGGGCGAAAAGAATGAGATTCCAACTCAAAAAAAAAAAAAAAAGAGTGAAATTGGGATATTTCTGGATGATATTTGCAATGCATGGCAGAAGTCTTAAAATAGTTTATGCCCTCTTACTCAGTAACTCCCTAGAATTTATCCTAAAGAATAATCATAAACCGGGCTCAGTGGGTCAGCCTGTAATCCCGCACCTTTGGGAGGCTGAGGTGAGTGGATTGCCTCAGCCCGCGGGTTCAAGACCCACCTGGGCAGTAAGACCTCATCTCTACAATAAATCAAAAAAATCAGCAGGGCGTGGTAGCACATGCCTGTAATTCCGGCTACTCGGAAGGCTGAGGCGGAAGGATCGCCGGAACCCGGCAGGTCGAGGCTGCGGTGGCCGGGAGCGGCCTCTACACTACAGTCTGGGCGACAGAGTGAGACTCTAACTCAAAAAAAAAACAAACAAAAAAGATTAATCACAGATGTCAAAAAATATTTAATTAAAAGCACTAACACATCTAGGTGCAGTGGCTTACACCTACTTGTAATCCCAGCACTTGGGGAGGCAGAGGCAAGAGGATTGCCTGAGCCCACAGGTTCAAGAACAGCCTGGGCAACATGGAGAGACCTCATCTCTACAACAAATAAAAACTCAGCTGGGCGTGGTGGCGTGCACCTGTGGTTCCAGCTACTTGGAAGGCTAAAATGGAAGGATCACCTAAGCCCAGCAGTTCGAGGCTGCGGTGGCCGTGAGCATGCCACTATACTCCAGCCTGGATGACAGAGTGAGACTCTGAAAAAAAAAAAAAAAAAAAAAAGGCACTAACTCTACAGAATTGTTCATAAAAGCAAAAAATTGGGATCAAACTAAAAATCCAAAATGTTAGGAATCAGGCTGGGCATGGTGGCTCACGCCTGTGGCCTGTAATCACAGCACTTTGGAAGGTTGAGGTAGAAAGATTACTTGAGTCTAAGAGCTCAAGACCAACCTGGGCAATATAGTGAGATCTCATCTCTCAAAAAAATGTTTTTGGTTTTTTTTGAGTTGGAGTCTCACTCTGTCACCCAGGCTAAAGGGCATGCTCCCAGTCACTGTAGCCTTGATCTGCTGGGCTCAAGAGATCCTTCTGCTTCAGACTTCCAAGTAGCTAGAACCATAGGCATGTGTCACTATGACCGGCAAATTATTTTTGTGTGTGTGTGTTGGAGTCTTACTCTGTCTCCCAGGCTGGAGTGCAGTGGCACGCTCACAGTCACCACAGCCTCGACCTGCTGGGCTCAGAGATCCTTCCTCCTCAGCATTCCAAGTAGCTGGCACAGTCGGGCTCGGGGGCTCAGCCTGTAATCCTGCGCTTTGGGAGGCTGAGGTGAATGGATTGCCTGAGCCCACAGGTTCGAGACCTGCCTGGGCAACTTGGCGAGACCTCATCTCTACAATAAATCAAAAATGAGCTGGGCATGGTAGCTCACGCCTGTAGTTCCAGCTATTTGGAAGGCTGAGGCAGAAGGATCGCCAGAGCCCAGCAGGGA